GGCATGTCAGCTGTACACCTCTGTCCTGATGGACTCATCAGGTATAGACTATCATGTGGTTCTGTGTCAGAATGCTCTCCAGCAATGTCTCACTTATCCTGAGCTACAGGCTGAACTCCTCAGTGCACTGATCAAACAGACATCGAAGCACCTACAAGCTAAACCAGGGGTCCAGGTAACCAAGACACTGAACAAAATCAAGCACTCCCGAGTAAGTGTGTCCGCTTTATGTTGCTCTAGTCTGGTGGATCAGCAATGTCATAGGTAAAGATTGCGAGAAGCTCAGTACCTTTCATTAATAATTTTAAATTTTCCAAGCATATTTACTGGAAAATTGAACATTATTTGGGTAACCATGTGATAATTTAGTATGTCAACTTGATAGTGAATATATTTTACTTAATGAATTTTGTAATGAAGATAGCCTTGCTGGATAATATCTAAAACAAAGGAATTTTTTCCTCCGTTATTTCGCTTACCCATCAGACTGTGTCATCTCATTTAGAAAGAAACTGCTCAAAAATTCAAATGTGGAATAAATTCTGCACTGGAAAAAAAAATTGCAATTTTTCATATATTTTTTTTTAAATTGACAATGAGATGGCATCTGCTTTTTTAGTTCTTAGTTATCACATAAATTTAAGTTAGTTTTTATTATGTTGGGGCTGTGATGCTTGAGCTGTGCAATGCAACCTATCCACTACCCTTGACAAAGCTTGGTGTCACTTGTTGTTGAGACTACTGTACATTTTCATGTTATTTCAGCCATGCACTACTGTACTGTACATAGTCATCTGTGTCATGGTTTTTTCTGTATTTTATTAATCTACCCATAGAAATTATAGCAAGAGCCAATATTATTTTTGCAAATATCACATCTAGTTTTTTAGTCAAGCATGGGCTTGTCCACCTGCCTGATGTGTTTTTATCATTTACAAATTAATTATACCAAATAGTTTTTTCAGTTATTTTTACCTTATTTTTAGTATATTTTTGTTGTCACCATGTACCAAACACATGACACATGAGCCATTGTGACCGTTTCCCAGCAATTACAAGTAAATAATGAGTTCACTCTGCATCCTTTCTTGTACAGTATATTAAGGACTTAATCATCAGATTGTCTTTCATAGCAGCAAAGTATGAAGGCGATTGGCTCATCACTATATGCAGGTATGATTGTATGGACAAGAAATTTCTTTAAAGGTTGGGTTAAAAAGTATTTTATTTGCACTCTTTTATATGAGAAAGGATGTTTAGGTGCATCTTTATCTCCAACTTGTTCACATTCATCAATTTAAATGTCGTTAGACTATTGTGTTTGAAGCATTAAACTTTTAATATTGATATGATTATAATTACTATACTGTACTGTACTGTACTGTATTATGAGAACCTCTCCAGCATACAATTGTCTGTCTGTATTATTACAATAGTTGGTTTCCTATACTGGCAGGTTAAAAACTTAGATTTTTTTAATTTCTTTTAAAATACTCGGTGTACAGTTGGCATCAGAGGAAGTGAGAAATTTGTGGCCAATGGAGACATCTGGCATCTCCTTGAGGTAGTAAGTAGTATTTTTTCCTGAATGAATCACTCCTATCTGACAAATCAGAATGGTTGATTCATGAAAAAATACTACTTGCTACCTCAAGGAGATACCAGATGTCTCCATTGCCACAAAGTTTCTCACTTCCTCTGATGTCAACTGTACATCTCAGCACATTCTGATATGGCAACAGGTCAAATTGGCTCCAGTCCTAATATGTGGATTGTTCTTGGTTAAGTTTGATTTTCTTCTAACCAGAGAGGAAAAGTTACTCGTGGTGTTCCTTTTCATCATATGGAAAATTAATTTGCTGATACACTTGATGGTGTTGGAATCTTTGAAGTAAATTTATATAGTTCTTCTTCCCAGTTTACGTCAAGTCATCGGGAAGCTTAAACTCTCTCATGTGTTTAATTTCTGGTTGCTCCTTTTAAGACCTGGTAAGAACACATATGTTCAGCTCCAACTTTGTCTAAAACCTCTTCTAATATATCTTTCTTTGATGTCAAAAGGGGTGTGTGTGCGTGCGTGCGTCCGTGCGTGCGTGCGTGCTTGCGTGCGCTCTTTTAGCATAATTAATAGGGTCACCATAAGCAACTTTTCACAGATGGCTGAAAAAATCAAACAAACTAAACCAAGAAACATCAGCCCTGCTGATAATTAGGGTTAGGGCCCATTTTTTATGTGTAAGTCCAAGCTTATTAGGACCAGGGCTCATGTGGCCTGCACCTACTGGCGTGGCGGCTCAACGACACAAAGTTTTTAAAGAATTTTGTAAGCTGGGTAATTTGTAACATTTCATTTATTGGTTGTCCATGCATAATTTTGCATTTTCTTCCACATTGAATATCTAGACTTAATAAACTAATAAATTAAATATTACAGAAATAATGCATTGTGAATTGTTTGAATTAATTTTCTTAAGTATGCACTAATATCTATTGTCTTTATAGTACTGTACTTCCATTGTGGACTGTGATTTCACAATTAATGTGGGCTGTGATGTTATATCGACTTATAATGTAACTTCGCTAACATGGTTGATTTGAGTTTATAAGCAAGGTTTTTTTTATTAAATAAAAATAAAAAGTAAATTAATTGAAAGAGCCTGAAGGGGTAGCTACAGGCTGCAACACCACATATCTTAACCAATCAGTCAATCAACCTGAAGGGTTAATGAGATTTTCATGTCTTGCCATGAATATGTAAAGGGCATGCAGTGTTACCCTTGTTCATTTGTACAAATGTACATCTGTATGTAAGGATGAACTAACTTTAAAGCCTGATGCCTGGCTTAGATATTCACTTTTAGCCAGACATGTCTACTGATTATACACCCAGGATTCTCAGGATCTAAACTACTGATTGAAACTAATGTGAATATTAATTTATACCTTACTGTTGTACTCGGGTCGAAAAGAGACCTGATGGGTACAAAGTTACCACTTAAGACTGTGTGTCATTGCTCAAATTTGTGCACTGCAATTCTCATTTGGCTCGGTCATAAAGTACCAGATCCGAGTCATCCATGTTATTTCTAGTTATCTAAACAAAAAGATTGAATGTTCTTTGCTTTGCTCCAATCCTGCTACAAGGACTACCCCTCTATACCCCTCTAATAGCTTAAAGGCTTCTCTCAGTGTTTAACTGTAACCACATGTTTCGAAGTGTTACTACAGTGGGGTCACGATAATTAATGAAATACAAATTTGCATTCTTAAATTCTCGGGTACCTCTCTTACTACTTTTTTTTTAAGTTTGCAGTCAAATATTTATAATTTGCAGCCAATTGCCGACTGCTGCAGTGTTTATTTACACAAGATACCAAGAAAAAAAGAATCACTTGAATGTGACTTAGAAATAAATGAAATATAATATAAATCTATAAAATAAGAAAAAAAAAATAAGGGTGGATTGAATTATGTGTGGGTCTGTAGGAATTAGGACAGTTCCCCTATTTCCAAGCGCTCAGTATCCCCCCGATCTTGTTGATACAACATTATGCAATTTCACCATAATTCCCATATTATTTTGGTTCATATGGTACCAGTGATAAAATGTTATCATAAAGTAATAAATTTTCATGAAAAAAAATCCCACATTCAACCCCAGGTGACTTATTGTGTACTACAGGCATTAAATTCCTGGTGTTTACATGGCACATTCACAGCCAGCCCGACGCCTGCCTGTCTGGATGGCGTATTGGCACAATCTTTAGTATGATATGAGAAGGGCAGGAGCTGTTTATGTAATACAGTATAGAACTACTTTTTGTACAACATTTGTGTCATTGTAATTTTTTATATATCATGTACAGTACAGTATAGTCTCGATTTACGTGGTCAATTAACCCGTAGAGGTCCGCGTAAAACAAGGAACGTGTAAACAAAATAACAGAACATATGGGATTAATTGAAATAGAGACTGGGCCGACCCCCAAACCACACTTTTTCCGACACAATATGTACGTTGTAGTAAAAATAACATCTTAATTTTATGATGGTCTGCACACATAATTAATATTTAAGAGAAATCTCAATAATATTAGGTTTTTTAACACTTATGTTAGTAGAAGAGGTGGCTGGGTACACGGGGATAGGGGGTTGGTTCCATGGCAGAGGGCAGATTATTGACCCTCACCTGTATCACCTGTATCACTATCCACCACAGAGGCTTGCAGGGCCTCTTTGTCAAACCCCTCAAAGTCCACATCCTCACTATCACTGACTTGGGCTGGCTGTGGTGGGTGGCGGGTGAAGAACTCGGTAATGTTTTCTTGACTGGGCGACCTTGTGTGCACCCTGCCCGCGTAAATGATGGAATGTACCGCGTAACTAATAATTGCCGGTCTGGCCAGGTACCGCGTAAAGGAAATCCGCGTAAATCGAGACTATACTGTATAGGGATGCACCAGAACTTGTTAGTTCTGGCCAGAACCTCGATTTTCATGAAGTTGTGGTTTCTGCCGGAACTTCGGTAAAATAACCGCCAGGAACTGGAACTTTTTATGGTACAGTAGAACGTTGATATAACTCGAGGTACATTCTAAGAGAGGTCGCTTTAAACCGAATTCGCACTAAATCAAAGTGTTGTTTCAATGGAATAATTTAGTTTGGTACTTGAGAGAAACACAAAATACTAAAAAGACTGAGAGTCTACCCAGATGCACCTCAGCCCATCTCCTAGAATAAACAAAACATTGTTTTATGTAGCATTATGTTAAAACAAACACTCGTAAATCAACACGGCTAAAATTATGGGATGTGAAATGGTCTGTTTATTAGGGATCAGCTGATGGAAAGATTAGGGTGGGGGGTGTAGAGAGGTGAGGTGATATATTTGACAGTTGTTGCCATGGTCTAGTGCTTAATTATTTATCTGTCCTAAAGAGTGACTTTAAGTTTTCTCTTATAAAATACAGCTCCTCCCCGACTTACGACCAACTCGACTTACAACCACTCGCACTTACGACCTGCCTCAGTCGTACCAAAATTTTGTCAAATTACGTATTTTTGAGTCCCAACAACAGTACACAGAGAAAATTTTTGTTTGTAATTCACTTTAAAATGGCTGGCAAGCTTAAAAGTGAGAGTTTTGTGGTACTGAGAAGAAAATGAGACACCCATTTTAGATTTTCTATATATTATTTAAGCATTTTCGAC